GTAGATAAATGTAAAGTTCTAAAGTTCAGAAATGTTCATAACCCTAGCACCTACCAGCTTAATAATGTTGAACTCAGCTGTACAGAATGTGAAAAGGATTTGGGGGTTATGGTAAGCAGCAATCTTAAACCAAGACAGCAGTATCTAAGCGTGTGTAATAAGGCAAATAGATTGCTGGGATTTATATCGAGAAGTGTTAGCAACAGAAGTCCAGCAGTTATACTACAGCTTTATACATCATTATAGGTCAAAACCTTGCCAATAATATCCCAAGCTCAGATACCCCACCAAATGACTACCTCACTGGCAACTACCCGAACACACTGTTCCTAGCTCCGACTAACCCATACGAAGTCTCCCTTATTATCAACGCACTGAAAAACAAGGCAGGAGATTTAAATACCTTACCACCCTTTATATACAAAAAAGCGTCACAAGTACTATCACCAATCATTGCAACACTCTTTAACAAATCCATTGAATCCTCCACCTTCCCTACAGTTCTCAAAATAGCAAGGGTCACCCCGATCCATAAAGGAGGAGACCAAACAGAGTTGAATAACTATAGGCCAATATCCAATTTACACCCTCTCTCAAAAATCTTCGAAAAAATTAATTCATAAACGAATCCACTCCTACCTCATCTCCCATAACATTCTCAACCCTGCCAATTTGGATTCAGGCCTAATAAAAATACTAATGATGCTATTATACACATGCTAGAACATATATACACTGCAATAGAGAAAAAAGAAGTCCCACTGGGGATCTTCATTGACTTACGTAAAGCTTTTGATACAGTTGACCATGACTTGCTCCACGTAAAATTGTCACACTATGGTATTAGAGGGCACTCCCTCAACTACCTCAAGTCTTACCTCAGCAACAGAAGCCAATATGTGTACGCAAATGGGGCAAGCTCTTCCGCACAACCAATTACAGTTGGTGTCCCACAGGGAAGTGTCCTTGGCCCTCTTCTCTTTCTCCTATACATAAATGACCTACCAAATGCTTCGCAATTACTCAAACCCACACTTTTTGCAGATGACACCACATACGTCTTCTCTCACCCGAGCCCAGTCACGCTAGCCAATACTGTAAACACCGAATTACAGAAAATATCTACCTGGATGAGGACTAACAAACTTACACTAAACATTGACAAAACCTACTTCATTCAGTTTGGTAGCAGAGCTACAGATGTACCTCTTAACATAACGATAAACGGATCACCTATCACAAAGCTAACAGAGGGAAAATTCTTAGGAATCCACCTCGATAATAGACTCAAATTTCATACACATATACAACAAATTTCTAAGAAAATTCCCAAGACTGTAGGCATACTATCGAAGATACGGTACTATGTTCCACAGTCAGCCCTCCTGGCCCTTTATCACTCTCTTATTTACCCCTATCTCACCTATGGAATTTGTGCATGGGGCTCAACAACAACTAACCATCTCAGACCACTAATTACCCAACAAAAGGCTGCAGTTAGAATGATAACAAATTCTCATTACAGGCAGCACACTCCACCAATATTCAAAACACTCAACCTACTCACCATACAAAACATCCATACTTATTATTGCACTTATTACATACATAGAACACTTAACTCTGATATTAACCCTCCCTCAAACATCTCCTTGCCAACCTCAACAGAACACATGACCATAATACAAGGCACAGATCACTCTTTGATGTTCCTCGTGTCCATCTCACGCTATGCAAAAACTCAATGCACATAAAAGGCCCTAAAATCTGGAATTCATTACCTGTAAATATAAAAGAAACACTACCTGTTTATAAATTCAAGTCTCTTCTCAAAGTTCACTTACTCACTCAAAACCAAATAAATACTGAATAACTGAACCATATAAATTGTATATCCTAAATGTTACTCACAATTATGTCACACAAATGTTAAACCTAACTTTGTTATTTTTTTAAATACACTACCTAACAGAATACTCCATTCTACTGAATGAACAGCAATGCATGCAACCATAGGACCTGTCTTTGTAATACTCATTTGTATTTTATAGTTATCTGTTTACAATAATGTCTTATCACTGATTTCATCATTGCTTAGTTAATCTTAAGTTAATTTTAAGCCAGCCCGTAATGCTATGCATATAAGTGGCTTTGGCATGCTGCTCTTACCTGTATTTTTTGTACCTCTGTTTGTATGCTAAAATGCTAAATGCAAAGGCCTCACCTAGATTACGCAGTTCAGTTCTGGTCTCCATTTTACAGAATGGATATAAATTCATTAGAAAACATTCAGCGATGAATGACAAAATTAATTCATTGCTTTAGAAATCTTCCATATGAAGAAAGATTGAAGTCCCTTAAATTACATTCACTTGTAAGACTAAGAATGAGGGGAGACATGATCGAAGTGTACAAGTGGAGAATGGGTATTAACAAAGGGCTAAAACCTTGGGTAGTTTCAAATTTAGGTTGGATAAATACATGAGTGAGAGGGGTTGGATTTGAGTGGGACTTGCACATGAGTTAATAGAATCTTATTCCTTGGGTAGAACTGAAAATTGAGTCGGGCAAATATTCTGTAAGTTGGATGGATTGTAAAGGACCTGCCTAGAATGGGCCAACAGGTCTGCTGCAGTGTTCCTCCTTTCTTCTGTTCTTAACCTGCCCACACAGTTCTCCCCACGGCCACATGCCTAAACCTACACCCCATGCCCTCACCTAGGCTATCTCGCCATGCCCTCACCCACACCTTACTTAATCTTTCACCCTAACATGCCATCCACACACCTAATCACTTAGTCACCCACCACTCTCATTACTGCCTACACCACTAACTGCACACTCTCCCAACCAGTCACACATCATCCACATGACCACCCACACTGGGCCACTGACACAATCACACCTTTTACCAACACCACTTCCCCACAGCTTCAAGGCCACATAGTTCCTTATGCCCACACCTTACTCATGCTTTCATGGACAACACACCCTAACACACTGTCCACACACCTAGTCACGTAGCCATCTATCACCCTCGTTACTGCCAGTCACCATCACACCACCTCATTGCTTCCAGTCTCTGCCCCTTCCACCTCCCAACTCCTCCACTGCTCAGCATTCTCCACCTCCCAACATCAGCCTCCGTCTCCTGCTTCCACTGCTCAGTCCCCATCTCCCATGCCAGCAGTTCCTCAATCCCCCATACCCCAAACTCCCTCACCACAACTGCTCTAACCCCTCATGTACACCCTAACCCCACACCCCTAACGCTTACCCCTCTTTTATAACCTCTATACAATTACAATGAGTGGGACAACCGAACAATAAGGCAACTCTGTCTACTAGCAGAGATGTGGATGTAGGATCTATGACTGACTCACATTACCACATTGACCTATAATTACATTCTCCAAATTTTTTTTTTTTTTTTAATTTCAAAACCTAAAAAAAATTTGGTGATTTTTTTTGGGAGAGTCTAAGGAACATCACCCTATTTTTTCCTTATGTTCTTCAGTTCATTTTAGATGATTTTTTGACTATACAGTGGACCCTCGAGTTTCAGCAGCATCGAGTTTCGTGAAATTCGACCTTCGTCAAGTTTTTTTGGGAAAAATTTGGCCTTGAGTTTCGCGATTAGACTCGTGTTTCGGCGACCGTCCAGTACCCGTCCGCCCGTCACTGCGCACACCAAGTCAGTCTCCTACGCCATTCACGCTCAGTGTGCCATTGTTTACCAACACGTGACCATCACCCCGGGGTTCATACAATACATTTCATAATAATCCATTGTTTTTTGTGTTTGCAACTGCTAAATAAGTCATCATGGACCCAAGGAAAGCTAGTGCAAGCCCTTTAGTAAATAAAGTGAGGAACACGATCCAGAGGGATTTTGAAGGGTTTGAGGCAGACCCTGTCCCTGCCGACCCTCTGCCTGTTGTGGAAGGTGTTGTGGCATTGGGCAAGTCCATGGGGTTGGAGGTGAGTGACGGGGATGTGGAAGAGTTGGTGGAGGACACAGGAAGAGCTAACCACTGACGAACTGCAAGAGCTTCAACTGGAACAGCATCAGACCACAGCCGAGGAACTTGCTTCAGAGGAGGAGGAAAAGAGAGTGAAGGAAGTTCCTTCTTCAGTGATTAAGGACATGTGTGGAATGTGGAATGAGTTGCAAAGTTTTGTTGAAAAGTATCACCCTGACCAAGCTGAAACAAGCCATATCTGCAACATGTACAATGACAGTGTTGTGTCCCACTTCAGGGAAATCTTAAAGAAACACCAGAAAAAGACCTCTCTGGACAGATATTTTGTGCGACAGGGGTCCAGTGACTCTCAAGTTGTTCCCAGTGGCATTAAAAGAAGAGAAGTAACCCCAGATAAGGACTTGCTACCTAAAATCCTAATGGAAGGAGATTCTCCTTCCAAACAATAGTGTACACCTTCCTCCTATCCCCTCCTCCCATCTTCCATCCACCCAGAAGTCATCAGTAAAGGTAAGTGTAATATTATTATTTTTTATATGTATGTACTTGATTTCTCATTGATTTCAGTATATAAATCTTTATTTAATTTGAAAAAAAATATTTTATTTTAATATTTTTGGGTGTCTGGAACAGATTAATTTTATTTCCATTATTTCTTATGGGGAAAATGGTTTTGAGTTTCGTGAATTTCGACTTTCGGCAGGCTCTCTGGAACGAATTAATCACGAAACTCGGGGGGTCCACTGTATGCCATTTTCAGGAATTACCATGATAGTCAATTGTACATTTCTATCATAATTCTGTCTTACATTCTTATCCCTAATTTGTAATTACCCATATGTGTACTAACATTTATCACCTTGAACTTGTTTCATTCACTTTTAACTTCCTTTTTTAATACACCCTTTCCAAATTCTTTATCTCCCAGTAGCACTGTGTTATCCAGAAGCAACAATTTTCAGAACCTACATTGGAAATCAGGTTTATCTTTAATACATATTTCAAACTAAGCCTCACCTTAATTTCACTAGAATCACTGCAAGTCAAGATTGTCTGTCGAGATTTTATTGTGAATGCTGCGGCAACACACGGCAGAAAGGAAGGATGGTTTGATAAAATATGATCCCATAATACCAGCCAATCACTGGATGACAAAACCTGTTGAGAAATATCCAGCTGAGATTATCTGAATAATAATTATAATGTTTATATTTTTCTTTTCCCTCCAATGATGAAAATTATGAAAGCCACTTATATGTTTCGAAAGAGAGCCTCATTTAGAATAAACACAGATGCCAAATTAATTAAAAATGTTAAATTATTACCATTTTTTAACACATTGGCTGTCTCCCACTGAGGTAGGGTGACCTGAAAAATAAGGACTTTCACTGCCATTCACTTTATCAATCTTCTCAGAGGAGTGCAGATATGACAGTTCAGGTGGCCCTCCAAACAGAAAATATCCTCTGCCCCTCTTTTAGAGTGCAAGCACTGTACTTCCCACCTCCGTGACACAAGTTCAGCTAAACTCACACGGTTACAGAGTGCTACTGCACACACACAACTGCCATAATATTAAAAATACACAATAATGACAAGTAGATGAGTAAGATTCATCCAGTAATGTATCTTTCTATATCCTAGGAAAGTTAGCATAGGCTCTAATGTGACCACAATGCAGATGAATCTCATACCAACATGGCTGTGGCAAGCTTGCTATGGTAGGATGAAAAAGTGGAGAAAGTAATGGGAAAATAGGAGGAAGGTAGAAAAGTTTAAGTGGCTTAATGACTCCAAGTGGAGGAAGAACAAATTTTGTTGTCGTCATTTCTGATAAGGTTCTTATCATTTCATGAGTCAATTTCTCAGTTTCCTGAAGACTGAGGCGAGTTACACTGCAACATTCTTTGTGTTATGAATGCTTTTTTTGAAGTTTGCTATCAGACCTTTGAAGATTTGTTGTAATTTATTAGAGCGAGCGAGTGTGTGTACTCACCTATTTGTGGTTGCAGGGGTCAAGTCATAGCTCCTGGCCCCACCTCTTCAGATAGCTACTAGGTCCTCTCTCTCCCTGCTCCACAAGCTATCAAACCTCATCTTAAGACTATCTATGGTTCCCACCTCCACTACATCACTTTCTAGGCTATTCCACTGCCTGACAACTATATGACTGAAGAAATACTTCCTAACATCCCTTTGACTCATCTGAGTCTTCAACTTCCAATTGTGACCCCTTGTTTCTGTGTCCCATCTCTGGAACATCCTGTCTTTGTCCACCTTTTCTATTCCGTGCAGTATTTTATATGTCATTATCATGTCTCCCCTGACCCTCCTGTCCTCCAGTGTCGTCAGGCCAATTTCCCTTAACCTTTCTTCGTAGGACATTCCCCTTAGCTCTTGTTGCAAACCTTTGCACTTTCTCTAATTTCTTGACATCTTTGACCAGGTGTGGATTCCAAACTGGTGCTGCACACTCCAGAATGGGCCTGATGTATACGGTGTACAGAGTCTTGAATGATTCCTTACTGAGGTATCAGAACTCTATCCTTAGGTTTGCCAGATGCCCATATGCTGCAGCAGTTATCTGATTGATGTACGCCTCAGGAGATGTGCTCGGTGTTATACTCACCAAGATCTTTTTCTTTGAGTGAGGTTTGCAGTCTTTGGCCACCTAGACTATACTCTGTCTGCGGTCTTCTTTGTCCTTCCCTGATCTTCATGATTTTGCATTTGGCAGGGTTAAATTCCAGGAGCCAGTTGCTGGACCAGGCTTGTAGCCTGTCCGGGTCGCTTTGTAGTCCTGCCTGATTCTCGACCGATTTGATTCTTCTCATTACCTTCACATCATCTGCAAACATGGACACTTCTAAGTCTATCCCTTTCATTATGTCATTCACATACACCAAAAACAGCACAGGTTCTAGGACTGACCCCTGTGGAACCCTGCTTGTCACAGGCGCCCATTCTGATACCTCATCACGTACAATGACTCGTTGTTGCCTCAATGTCAGATATTCTCTGATCCATTGCAGTGCCTTTCCTGTTATGTGTGCCTGATCCTCTAGCTTTTGCATTAACCTCTTGTGAGGAACTGTGTCAAAGGCCTTTTTGCAGTCCAAGAAAATGCAGTCTATCCACCCCTCTCTCTCTTGTCTTACTTCTGTCACCTTGTAATAATGTTGGTAGAATTACTGACAATATGTAAAGTAAAAGGACCTAAGTGCAACTAATGTGACATTTTACTGTGGCAACGTTTCGCTATCCAGGAGCTTGTAGGTAACGGCTTGACAAAGCTCCTGGAGAGTGAAACATTGCCACAATAAAATGTCACATTAGTTGCACTTGAGTCCTTTTACTTTACATTCTGTCACCTTGTTACAAAACTCCAGTAGGTTTGTGACACAGGATTTTCCTTCCCTGAAACCATGCTGGTTGTCAATTATATGCTTGTTTCTTTCCAGGTGAAACATATAAGTGAACATATAAGTGAAACATATAAGTGAACAGTAGTATTTAGATAAGGCTAAAGAGGTTTTTGTGGCATTTATGGATTTGGAAAAGGCGTATGACAGGGTGGATAGGGGGGCAATGTGGCAGATGTTGCAGGTGTATGGTGTAGGAGGTAGGTTACTGAAAGCAGTGAAGAGTTTTTACGAGGATAGTGAGGCTCAAGTTAGAGTATGTAGGAAAGAGGGAAATTATTTCCCAGTAAAAGTAGGCCTTAGACAAGGATGTGTGATGTCGCTGTGGTTGTTTAATATATTTATAGATGGGGTTGTAAGAGAAGTAAATGCGAGGGTCTTGGCAAGAGGCGTAGAGTTAAAAGATAAAGAATCAAACATAAAATGGGAGTTGTCACAGTTGCTCTTTGCTGATGACACTGTGCTCTTGGGAGATTCTGAAGAGAAGTTGCAGAGGTTGGTGGATGAATTTGGTAGGGTATGCAAAAGAAGAAAATTAAAAGTGAATACAGGAAAGAGCAAGGTTATGAGGATAACAAAAAGATTAGGTGATTATTATTATTATTATTAAAGATTAGCCGGTATTCTCCCGGCCCGGGCCTTTTCCAAGTGGTGGCCCGGCCTTGGCTCCCTCTTTAGGGAGTGTCTGAGACCTAAGTCTCCCATGGGAGGAGGCACAAGTACCTCCTCATCTTTGGGACCAATTGTCCCCAGGCCTAGCCACAAGCTAGGCCTCTCTGGTCTGCCATCCCCGCCTCAAGGGGGCAAATGGGAATGACAGTCTTATGAGCTAAAGGCTCGGGCTCAGGCACCTACCCTACCCTAGAAGGGTTAGGCATGGTGTCGATCAATTAGGTGATGAAAGATTGGATATCAGATTGGAGCGGTGCACTTAGGAGTCTGTGGAGACAAAGAACTTTGTCCTTGGAGGCAAAGAGGGGAATGTATGAGAGTATAGTTTTACCAACGCTCTTATATGGGTGTGAAGCATGGGTGATGAATGTTGCAGTGAGGAGAAGGCTGGAGGCAGTGGAGATGTCATGTCTGAGGGCAATGTGTGGTGTGAATATAATGCAGAGAATTCGTAGTTTGGAAGTTAGGAGGAGGTGTGGGATTACCAAACTGCTGTTCAGAGGGACTGAGGAAGGGTTGTTGAGGTGGTTCGGACATGTAGAGAGATGGAGCGAAACAGAGTGACTTCAAGAGTGTATCAGTCTGTAGTGGAAGGAAGGGGGGTAGGGGTCGGCCTAGGAAAGGTTGGAGGGAGGGGGTAAAGAAGGTTTTGTGTGCGAGGGGCTTGGACTTCCAGCAGGCATGCGTGAGCGTGTTTGATAGGAGTGAATGGAGACAAATGGTTTTTAATACTTGATGTGCTGTTGGAGTGTGAGCAAAGTAACATTTATGAAGGGGTTCAGGAAACCGGCAGGCCGGACTTGAGTCCTGGGAGGAAGATACAGTTCCCCTATTTGGGGTTGGGGCAGGGGTAAGTCATAGCTCCTGGCCCCCCCTCTTCAGATTGCTACTAGGTCCTCTCTCCCCCTGCTCCACAAGCTATCAAACCTCATCTTTAAGACTATCTAGGGTTTCCACCTCCACTACTCACTTTCTAGGCTATTCCACTGCCCTGACAACTATAGACTGAAGAAATACTTCCTAACATCCCTTTTGGGACTCATCTGAGTCTTCAACTTCCAATTGTGACCCCTTGTTTCTGTGTCCCATCTCTGGAACATCCTGTCTTTGTCCACCTTTTCTATTCCGTGCGTATTTTATATGTCATTATCATGTTCCCCTGCCCCTCCTGTCCTCCAGTGTCGTCGGGGCCAATTTTCCCCTTAACCTTTTCTTCGTAGGACTTTCCCCCTTAGCTTTGTTGCAAACCTTTGCACTTTTTTAAATTTCTTGACATCTTTGCCCAGGTGTGGATTCCAAACTGGTGCTGCACACTCCAGAATGGGCCTGATGTATCGGTTTTACAGAGTCTTGAATGATTCCTTTACTGAGGTATCAGAACTCTATCCTTAGGTTTGCCAGATGCCCTTTAGCTGCAGCAGTTATCTGATTGTTTGTACGCCTCAGGAGATGTGCTCGGTGTTATATCACCAAGACTTTTTCTTTGAGTGAGGTTTGAGTCTTTGGCCACCTAGACTATACTCTGTTGCGGTCTTCTTTGTCCTTCCCTGATCTTCATGATTTTGCTTTTGGCAGGGTTAAATTCCAGGACCCAGTTGCTGGACCAGGTTTTTGTAGCCTGTCGGGTCGCTTTGTAGTCCTGCCTGATTCTCGACCGATTTGATTCTTTCTCATTACCTTCACATCATCTGCAAACATGGACACTTCTAAGTCTAATTCCCTTTCATTATGTCATTCACATTTCACCAAAAACAGCACAGGTTCTAGGGGGCTGACCCTGTGGAACCCTGCTTGTCACAGGCGCCCATTCTGATTTCCTCATCACGTACAATGACTCGTTGTTGCTCAATGTCAGATATTCTCTGATCCATTGCAGTGCCTTTCCTGTTATGTGTGCCTGATCCTCTAGCTTTTGCATTAACCTCTTGTGAGGAACTGTGTCAAGGCCTTTTGCAGTCCCAAAAAAATGCAGTCTATCCACCCCTCTCTCTCTTGTCTTACTTCTGTCACCTTGTAATAATGTTGGTAGAATTACTGACAATATGTAAAGTAAAAGGACCTAAGTGCAACTAATGTGACATTTTACTGTGGCAACGTTTCGCTATCCAGGAGCTTGTAGGTAACGGCTTGACAAAGCTCCTGGAGAGTGAAACATTGCCACAATCCTACCATCATGTAAAACAATTACAGGATTCCGTTTTACACTCACCTGGCAGGACGGTAGTACCTCCCTGGGCGGTTGCTGTCTACCAACCTACTACCTACAACTCAACAGAGTTATCCCCCTATAATTTTTGCACTCTCTTTTGTCCCCTTTGCCTTTATACAAAGGAACTCTGCACGCTCTCTGCCAATCCCTAGGTACCTTACCCTCTTCCATACATTTATTAAATAATACCACCAACCACTCCAAAACTATATCCCCATCTGCTTTTAACATTTCTATCTTTATCCCATCAATCCCAGCTTCCTTACCCCCTTTCATTCTATCCACTGACTCATGAACTTCCTCTGCACTCACAACTGACTCTTCTTCACTCCTACAAGATGTTATACCTCCTTGCCCTATACACAAAATCACAGCTTCCCTATCTTCATCAACATTTAACAATTCCTCAAAATATTCCCTCCATCTTCCCGATACCTCTAACTCTCCATTTAATAACTCTCCTCTTCTGTTTTTAACTGACAAATCCATTTGTTCCCTAGGCTTAATCAACTTGTTAATCTCACTCCAAAACTTTTTCTTATTTTCAACAAAATTTGTTGATAACATCTAACCCACTCTCTCATGTGCTCTCTTTTTACATTGTTTAACCACTCTCTTAACATCTCTTTTTTTCTCCATATACTCTTCCCTCCTTGCATCACTCCTACTTTGTAAAAACCTCTCAGTTTTAATTAAACCAAAAACACTTGCAGTTTTTTTCCTCATTATGCACTGCCTGCTGCAGGATTTCCTTTATGTGGTGCACACTTACCACAAAGACCCCTTCTCTCATATCCAGACCCAAATTTACTGCTCACAGCTTATCTGAATGAGCTTACCTCATGGCGTAGTACAACGGCACCAACAGTGACCTCAAACCCGTAGTACTACGGTACGGACAATGAAAGGGTTAAGATAAATGCTTCAAAATGCAGGAGGGCCCTGCTTATATAGCAGGTTAGGTTCCAGGCTACAGCTGTAAAGTGAAAATTGCTGCAAAGTGAAATGCATATAAAAGCCTGATAACATGTTTACACTATCATATATTAAGTGAGCAACAGAATTAGGTCTTAAAAAATGTACATACAGTACACACATTACTTACCTTAAAATATTTTCTTACTTAGCTTATAGTGAGTGGTGAATATATTTAATGTAGGTAGCCTGAATTAATGAAGAATGGGTATAACCAAAAACCACAGTATTAGTGAAATGCTGTAAAGCCAGGCCTTCCTAATCTCAGGTACAGTATTTGATAATAAAAGAGATGTAAAGTGATAATAAAAAAACATTTGAAGGTCCAGATAGCATTAGATAATGAAACAGCTTTTTAATTTCAATATGGGAGCACAATTTGTCCTCTAAGCAAACCTGAGATCAAATGTAAATCAAAGTTCAAGAAAATATAATGTAAGGAATAAAAGTTGACAGTTGCAATTCATAATGTAACTTTTTTAATACAAGCATTTTCCAGCATGCGTGCGTGAGCATGTTAGATAGGAGTGAATAGAGATGAATGGTTTTTGGGACCTAATGAGCTGTTGGAGTGTGAGCAGGGTACTATTTAGTAAAGGATTCAGGGAAACCGGTTATTTTTATATAGCCGGACTTGAGTACTGGAAATGGGAAGTACAATGCCTGCACTTTAAAGAAGGGGTTTGGGATATTGGCAGGTTGGAGAGATATGTTATATTTGAGAGATTTTTATCTTTGCATATGCTTCTAAACTGCTGTATCTGGGTGCCTCTGCAAAAACAGTGATTATGTGTGAGTGAGGTGAAAGTGTTGAATGATGATGAAAGTATTTTCTTTTTGGGGATTTTCTTTCTTTTTGGGTCACCGTGCCTCAGTGGGAGACGGCCAACTTGTTGAAAAAAAAAAAAAATCCCAACAAGGTAGGGTGACTGCAAAATAATTTTTTTTTTCAACAAGTCAGCCTTTCCAGAGGTGCATGAATATTGTAAAGGAAATCATAATTAATTAGACTGCAATAACTCTTGCTTGAATATTATGTCAATATCTAACATTCATGTGTGAGTATATTAGAATGGAGTGAATGGAAACAAGTGCATTTATGGGATTTTTATTTTCAACATGCCCGCCATCTTCCACAGAGGCAGGGTGATTCAAAAACAAAAAGAACACTTCATAAAGATTTTCTTCCTTTTACAGGATCTATTATGTATAAAGTCATTCATGGAAATTGGTTAGCTGGACATAGGTTACTAAGTTGGGGTGTACAGTATTTGCACTCTGAAGAATGAGTGAAAATGTTGTAGTTCAGTAGATCATTGGAACTGTGATATCCATGCAGTCTGGCAAGACAGCTACAGAATGTGTGATGAAGAAAGTGTTATTTTCTCTGGGTCATCTTACATTGGTGGGAAATGGCAAATGTGTTAAAAAAAATTATCAGTCTTACTTTATCCTTGCATAAATTTTACGGAAGATGTAAAGTGTCAAAGGAAGCTATAATAATTTTACTTACTCTCCTGTATGATTAAGTAAACTAGAAAATTGCAAAGCAACATAATTGTGATTGTTAACATGAACTGTACTTACTTTAGAAAATGCACTGGTAAGCAAAGACCAAGCATAGTCTTCAGCTGTCACTTTAAGTTTTATAAGATGAGTCAACAATGAAGGATCTGCCACACTTATGATTTGCTCTATCACATTGAGTACTGTTATCCCAGGTTCTGGCCAAAATTCGAACCATAAACAACACCAATTCACTGCAATGACATTGTACAGTATAACATAAATTTACTGAGTCTTACAAATTGTCTATATGCTATATGTATAATATAATATAATATAATATTTTTAATTGCTATACCATTCCCTAAGATGTGACCACAATACTCAACTTAACATTCAGTTACATGACGTCCTAATAAAAAAAAAAAAAAGATTCACGAAAATTTAGACATGTGTAAACATCTGGGTGTCTTTATTGTAGATGTTTCGCCACCCAGTGGCTTTATCAATACAGATTCTAGGACATAATTTGAAGACAGTAGAACTACTGTATATACAAAAGATGAGGTAATCAGTCCCTCAGCCTTGGAGTTGGTGTGAAGAGCACCGTAGTTGTGTAGATTCTGGAGCACAGGCAAGGAGGCTGGAGCTTATATACTAATCGTCAGGTGGAAAGGGACGGGTAGCAGAAGAGGGCATAGTCACTGATAGGCGGGATTCCCCAGTGGAAGTAGGTCATACCCAAAATGATGAGTAAACTCTACTGTCTTCAAATTATGTCCTAGAATCTGTATTGATAAAGCCACTGGATGGCAAAATGTCTACAATAAAGGTACTCAGATGTTTGCACATGTGTATAAATTTTCATCTTGTCAGTATTGTTTACCATTCTTGTACAAAAAGATTCATGATTTAGGTTCCCAACATTCCTTATAAGTTTAGAATTTGTAAATACTCTACGGGTATCACTTAATTCTATTCGTGTAATAAATTTTGGGCTCAGTGTGTGTTTCACAGAACATATTTTTATAAATATTGCTCTAACTGGGTTAATATTGATATTCAAGGGAAAGGATGCCCAGAAAGAGAAGATATTTGTACTCAGAAAATCCAATGAGAATATTTTTAATCAGTTTTATGGTTAGCTTTGAATTTAGGAGCCAAAAGTCCAGCCCCCTCCACCAAAAAATGTCACAAAAAACTTGCAAATTACTGAAGCTTTTAGCAAGATACCCTTCAGTAAAACTGTGTAATCAAAGCATGTGAATTAAGAAGCTCACAAATTATGGGATAGACGGATTGTATTTACTGTTAGGTGACAAAGGGTAACAGGTGTAAGAAGGGTCGAGTTACCTTACATGTCTTGAATGGATTATAATCCAGGATCTTTTGGCTGTGAGCTACATATACACAAACACGCAAGTTCACTTACTAATAATTGTAAGCGTCACTTCAAAACACAGGAGGGGGTTACTGTGGAACATCTTGATGAATGGAAACACAAATTCAGGCAGATAATCCACGCTAGCCAGGAAGGGTGCCCAATGAGTAAGACAAGACAGTGTTCTGAATAAGAGAAATATATTAAGAGTGTACATACACATCAGAAAACACATTCTAAGTAATCTATCTGTCCTTAAAATACTCCATATAGCAAAAAGTTCTGTATGCTCATTGAAACCAATGCACTACTAATAATTTTGAGAAACATACACAATAATATTCTTTCTTCTTTCAACGTACCAGCCGTATCCCACTGAGGTGGGGTGGCCCAAAAGAAAAAACTAAAGTTTCTCCTTTTAAATTTAGTAATATATACAGGAGAAGGGGTTACTAGCCCCTTGCTCCCGGCATTTTAGTCGCCTCTTACGACACGCATGGCTTACAGAGGAAGAATTCTGTTCCACTTCCCCATGGAGATAAGAGGAAATAAACAAGAACAAGAATTAGAAAGAAAATAAAAGAAAACCCAGAGGGGTGTGTATATATATGCTTGTACATGTATGTGTAGTGTGACCTAAGTGTAAGTAGAAGTAGCAAGACTTACCTGTAATCTTGCATATTTATGAGACAGACAAAAGACACCAGCAATCCTACCATCATGTAAAACAATTACAGGCTTTCGTTTTACACTCACTTGGCAGGACGGTAGTACCTCCCTGGGCGGTTGCTGTTTACCAACCTACTACCTACAACACAATAATATATTTTGAATAAATAATGCATTTCTGATTAAGGGCTTTGAGGGTTCCAAAGTGGAATATGTCATACACCCATTACATCAAAAGCTCACTTCTCTTGATTCTAGCAAGATTTACCTTGCAGATCAGCACTCAACTACAGGCTTCCTTTTTTTTTTTTTTCAACATGTTGGCTGTCTCCCACAAAGGCAAGGTGACCCAAAAAGAAAGAAAATCCCCAAAAAGGAAATACTTTCATCATTCAACACTTTCACCTCACTCATACATAATCACTGTCTTTGCAGAGGTGCTCAGATACAACAGTTTAGAAGTCCCTCCAAACTGTCAATATCCCAAACCCCTCCTTTAAAGTGTAGGCATTGTACTTCCCATTTCCAGGACTCAAGTCCAGCTAACCGGTTTCACTAAATCCCTTCACTAAATATTACCCTGCTCACACTCCAACAGCTTGTCAGGTCCCAAAAACCATTCGTCTCCATTCACTCCTATCTAACACACACACGCACACACACACACACACACACGCTTCCTAGAAGTCCAAGCCCCTCAACCACAAAACCTCTTTTACCCCTTCCCTCCAACCTTTTTGAGGATGACCCCTACCCCACCTTCCTTCCCCTACAGATTTATATGCTCTCCAAGTCATTCTACTTTGATCCATTCTCTCTAAATGACCAACCACCTCAACAACCCCTCTTCAGCCTTCTGACTAATACTTTTAGTAACCCCACACCTCCTCTAATTTCAACACTCCGAATTCTCTGCATTATATTTACACCACACATTGCCCTTAGACACGACATCTCCATTGCATCCAGCTGCCCCCTCGCTGCAGCATTTACAACCCAAGCTTCACACCCATATAAGAGTGTTGGTATCACTATACTTTCATACATTCCCTCCTTTGCCTACATAGACAACGTTTTTTGTCTCCACACATGCCTCAACGCATCACTTACCTTTTTTCCTTCATCAATTCTATGGTTAACCTCATCCTTCATAAACCCATCTGCTGACAAGTCAGCTCCCAAATATATGAAAACATTCACTTCTCCCATACTCCCTCTCTCCAATGTGATATCCAATTTTTCTTTATCTAAATCATTTGATACCCTCATCACCTTACTCTTATCTATGTTCACTTTCAACTTTCTACCTTTACACACACTCCCAAACTCATCCACTAACCTTTGTAACTTTTCTTTAGAATCCCCCATAAGCACAGCATCATCAGCAAAAAGTAACTGTGTCAACTCCCAATCTGTATTTGATTCCTCATAATTTAATCCCACCCCAACACCCTAGCATTTACTTCTTTTACAAAAACATCTATAACTATATTAAACAATCATGGTGACATTACACATCCCTGTCTAAGACCTGCTTTTACTGGGAAGTAATCTCCCTCTCTAATACACACTCTAACCTGAGCCTCACTATCCTCATAAAAACTCTTTACAGCATTTACTAACTTACCACCTATTCCATATACCTGCAACATCTGCCACATTGCTCCCCTATCCACTCATATCATATGCCTTTCCTAAATCCATAAATGCAATGTAAACTTCCCTACCTTTATCTACTGTTCACATATATGCTTCAATGTAAACACTTGATCTACACATCCCCTACCCACTCTAAAGCCTCCTTGCTTATATGCAATCCTACTCTCTGTCTTTACCTGCAAGTCTTTCAATGATAACCCTACCGTACACTTTTCCTGATATACTCAGTAAACTTATTCCCCTATAATTTTTACAATCTATTTTGTCCTCCTTCCTTTTATATAAAGGAACTATACATGCTCTCTGCCAATCCCAAGGTACCTTCCCCTTTTTCACACATTTATTAAACAAAAATACCAACCACTCTAACACCATATCCCCCCCTGCTTTTAACCCTTTGTTTCGGTCGTATATATACTTCTTACGCGCCACTGTTTCTAACGTATTTATACGCGTAAATTCTAGCAGCTTCAAATCAAGCGGGAGAAAGCTGGTAGGCCCACATGTGAGAGAATGGGTCTGTGTGGTCAGTGTGCACCACAAAAAAAATCCTGCAGCATGCAGTGCGTAATGAGAAAAAACTCTGAAAGTTTTTTTGGATTAAATCGCCAACTTTGAGGTGTATTTTCGTGTAGTATTATCGTTGTATTCTCATTTTCATGGTCTCAGGTGATAAAATGGAAAACATATTACAGAAGTAGAGACGATTTTGATTACTTTCACGATGAAAACGACCTTGAAATTGAGCTCAAACTAGCGGAAATGTTCGATTTTTACCAATGTTCAAGAGTAAGCAAATCACAACACACGTCCAATACACCTCAACTGGGGAGTCTAATATTCTTTCACAAGTGCACTGATATTATTTATACTATATTTACAATAATGCAGTACTCTGCATAACAGTAAATTTTGTATTTTTTTTGTATGAATAAAAAATCAAAATAGAAAGCAAATAAGAGGGGCCTAGAGACGTGACTAATGAACAGAGGATATGTTATTTTAGTGACAAGAATGTCTACACTGTTTATTCTGGACCCTATTTTGAAATTGGCATCTTTTTTAATTTGCATGAAATTGGCGAAATTGCCAATTTCTGACCAGTTTATTGGGTAGTTCAAATTGGTAAAAGGGCAGTTTCTTGTACTCAACTGATAGAAAAAATGAAGTTCTAAAGAAATAGCTATGAGTTTGGTCAACTGGAACAATGGAATTGGCCAAAAACAGGGCTCAAAGTCGGCAAAATCGCCAATGCATATATATGTCGCCGAGACCGCTAACTTCGCGGGAGCATAATTCCATAGGTTTTCGACCAAATTTCGTACTTTTGGGAAAAGATTCTCTATCATTTCATAAGAATTTTTTTTTTTTTTTCCAAAAATTTATTGACACAGAATGACGGTTTCAGAAAGGGGCCTGCGACAGTCAAAGGGTTAACATTTCTGTCATGATCCCGTCAGTTCCAGCTGCTTTACCCCCTTTCATTCTATATAATGCCTCAAGCACCTCCCCCACACTCACATCTTGATCTACTTCACTCTTAAAAGATGTTATACCTCCTCAAAATATTCCCACCATCTACCCAATACCTCCAGCTCCCCCATCTACTAACTCCCCTACTCTGTTTTTAACTGACAAATCCAGTCATTCCCTAGGCTTTCTTAACTTGTTTATCTCACTCCAAACTTTTGTCTTATTATCAAAATTTCTTGACAGTGCCTCTCCCACTCTATCTTCTGTTCTCCTTTTGCATTCTCTCACCACTCTCTTCACCTTTCTTTTACTCTCCATATACTCTGCTCTTCTTGTAACACTTCTGCTTTGTAAAAACTTCTCATAAGCTACCTTTTTCTCTTTCATCACACCCTTTACTTCATCATTCCACCGATCACTCCTCTTTCCTCCTGCACCCACCCTCCTATAGCCACAAACTTCTGCCCCACATCCTAATACTACTGCATTTTTAAAACTATTCCAACCCTCTTCAACCTCCCCCACTACTCATACTTGCACTAGCCCACCTTTCTGCCAATGGATGCTTATATCTCACCCAAACTTCCTCCTCCCTTAGTTTATACACTTTCACCTCTCTCTTACTTGTTGTTGCCATATTCCTTTTGTCCCATCTACCTCTTACTCTAACTGTAGCAATGACTAAATAATGATCTGATATATCAATTGTCCCTCTATATACAGTAAATTGAATATAAAGATTGTTTACATAACCCTAAGCATATGCAGTTCATATACAAAGTTTGAGTTTCAGTAAAATATACATGGTATACTTTCTGCAGTGGGCTCCTAAGAATATGTTACACATTTCTTCTTTCTTTCAACACACCGGCCGTATCCCACCAAGGCAGGGTGGCCCAAAAAGAAAAACAAAAGTTTCTCTTTTAAATTTAGTAATTTATACGGGAGAAGGGGTTACTAGCCCCTTGCTCCCGGCATTTTAGTCGCCTCTTACAACACGCATGGCTTACAGAGGAAGAATTCTGTTCCACTTCCCCATGGAGATAAGAGGAAATAAACAATAACAAGAACTAGAAAGAAAATAGAAGGATACCCAGAGGGCTGTGTGTATATATATGCTTGTATATGTATGTGTAGTGTGACCTAAGTGCAAGTAGAAGTAGCAAGACATACCTGAAATCTTGCATGTTTATGAGACAGACAAAAGACACCAGCAATCCTACCATCATGTAAAACAATTACAGGTTTTCGTTGTACACTCACTTGGCAGGACGGCAGTACCTCCCTGGGCGGTTGCTGTTTACCAACCTACTACCTAGGATGTTATAGATTTATTTATATTAATTTACAGTTAAGATCTGTTTACCAGTATTGAGATTTGTTTTTTACTAAATTAACTGTTTCCTTACTGAAGTAGAGAAGCCACAGAAGCAACGTTTCCTCTTTTTGAGTTATCCTACCTTGATATGAAAATGGCCTTAGGTGGTAAAAATAATGCAAATTGTATCTTAAAAATTATCAAACAGATTTTAAGCATAAATTATACATTATGTGGCAGCATTGGTGAAGTGATGGTAATATAAATTTCATTAAAAATTAAACAAATAGATAATGCAAGAGTAAGTACATTGGTGGTGAATGTCAAATTCAACCCAGGAGACAAATTTAATGATAAATATGCAGCAGCATCCAAATGATAACTTAGGTTTCATTTAATACACCTTTTATAATTTATGTAAACATTTAATTTCTTCTTTTTCTTTTTTAGTAAGCTATAAGGGAAAAGGAGTTACTAGCTCACTGCTCTTGGCATTTTAGTCGACTTTTACAACACACACAGCTTACGGAGGAAAGATTCTTATTCCACTTCCCCATAGATATGAAAGGAAAAGTAATAAGAACAAGAACTAGTAAGATAAAATCAAAGAAAATTCAGATGAGTGTGTATACATAAACATGTACATGCATGTGTAGTGTAATCTAAGTGTAAGTAGAAGTAGCCAGACATACCTGAAATCTTGCATGCTTATGAGACGGAAAAAACACACCAGTAATCCTACCATCATGTAAGACAACTACAGGCTTCCATTTTACACTCACTTGGTAGACCGGTAGTACCTCCCTGGGCGGTTGCTGTCTACCAACCTACTACCATAAGTGAATGTTTTCAGATATTTGAGAGCTGACTTGTCAGCAGATGGGTTTATGAAGGATGAGGTTAACCACAGAACTGATGAAGGAAAAAAGGTGAGTGGTGTGTTGAGGTATCTGTGGGGACAAAACACGTTATCCATGGAGGCAAAGAAGGGAATGTACAAAAGTATAGTGGTACCAACACTCTTATATGGGTGTGAAGCTTGGGTTGTAAATGCTGCAGTGAGGAGGTGGCCACAGGCAGTGGAGATGTCGTGTCTAAGGGCAATGTGTGGTGTAAATATTTTGCAGAGAATTCATAGTGTGGAAATTAGGAGGTGTGGAGTTACTAAAAGTATAAGTCAGAGGGCTGAAGACGGGTTGTTGAGGCCATTTACAGAATGGAGCAATGTAGAATGACTTGGAGAGCGTATTAATCTGTAGGGGAAGGAAGGCGGGGTAGGGGTTGTCCTCAAAAAGGTTGGAGGGAGGGGGTAAAGGAGGTTTTGTGGGCAAGAGGTTAGATTTCCAGCAAGCGTGCGTGAGCGTGTTAGATAGGAGTGAATGGGAGTGAATTGGGTGTGAGCAGGGTAATATTCTGTGAAGGGATTCAGGGAAACCGGTTAACTGGACTTGAGACCTGGAAATGGGAAGTACAATGCCTGCATTTTAACCCTTAAATGGTACAAACTCCAAACATATATATTCTTGTACTCAAATTGTCACAAACACACTGACAGGTGGACATTTACACCTGCCTTGGTCATTTACTATTGTACTGGAATATAAACAAAGTATTTATAGGTCCCAGCAATGTTTTGGAGGGAGGGAGGGAGGGAGGGGAGGGGAGGGGAGGGAGGGAGGGAGGGAGGGAGGGAGGGAGGGGAGGGAGGGAGGGAGGGGAGGGGGGGAGGGAGGGAGGGAGGGAGGGGGAGGGAGGGAGGTGGAGGGGAGGGAGGGGGGGAGGGGAGGGAGGGGAGGGGGGAGGGGAGGGGAGGGAGGGGGGAGGGGAGGGAGGGGAGGGAGGGAGGGGGGAGGGAGGGAGGAGGGAGGGAGGGAGGGAGGGAGGGAGGGAGGAGGGAGGGAGGGGAGGGGAGGGAGGGAGGGAGGGGGGAGGGAGGGAGGGAGGGAGGGGGGAGGGAGGGGAGGGAGGGGGGGAGGGGGAGGGGAGGGAGGGAGGGGAGGGAGGGAGGGAGGGGAGGGAGGGAGGGAGGGAGAATACCTAATAATAATAATAGGTAATAATAACTTCCCTTGAAGCATGAAAAACAAAGTCCACCCCTGACAGTGACATGATAAGTTGAGATAACATCTGATAAGAGCTGATGTTTGATGAGCATACATGAGGGTGGGAGAGGGTGCAGCTGATAAGAAAAGATTAGAGGTGACATTTGATGAGCATCGCCCTCACTTTGTTTTGGCTGGTACACAAACATTTCTGTCTGTATTTGTCTGTCTGTCAAGCTCCCTGTCTATCCATCTAGCTCTCTGTCTCAGAGAGAGCCACAAGACTGCATCATCACCTTTACTCACATCTTCAAGCAGAGAATAGCACTTTGTCTGGATTTTTTGGGTTATCTTAGGTAATTTATACTACGTATACTTGTACTTATGTGTACCTGTGAGACAGAGATAGACAGAGACAGACTGAAAGAGATAGACAGACAAAGCCAGAGACAGATAGACAAAGGCAGAGACAGACAGATAGACAGAGACAGACACAGATAGAGACAGACAGACACAGATAGAGACAGATAGACAGAGACAGAGACAGACAGAGATAGACAGAGATTGGCAGACCCTAAAATTGGGATTAACATCACTTTCCTCTTAAAAGGGGAGTGTTAATATGACATTACATCAGTGAATCCTTGGTGTTTGGTGCACTGTTTGCTCTAGCTGGGGCTCAATTTAACTGGCGCTCCCACAAGGTACTAAGTGGTCCCAGATTTTTTTAATACTGCGCACAGCACACCGAGTGTTAAGACCCATTCTATGCTGACCAGGCATCTCAGGCCAATCGTGCCAAATTTGGAGGCAGGAAAATTAAAACATAACGTTTGGGCTACGCACGCTTGGACCGTTTAGGGGTTAAAGGAGGGGTTTGGGATATTGGCAGTTTGGAGTGACTATCTAAACTGTCATATCTGGGTGCCTCTGCAAAGACAGTGATTATGTATGAGTGATGGTGAAAGTGTTGAATGATAATGAAAGTTTTTTCTTTCTTTTGGGTCATCCTGCCTCAGTGAGAAATGGCTGACGTGTTAAAAAAAAAAATTTTAGTTTCACCTACCCTTGGAGAGCTCTGAAGAGTGCTCCATCAGGCAGCTCCAGAACCTCTTGTAGCCCTTCAAATGCTGTGTGGGTTCCTTTATCTAGCAGTGAACTGAACACTGAGTAGTTGCGTGGAACTTCAAGCACAGACAACCATATCAAGGTTCTATATTTCTCTGGGTATGCTTTGAATTCCTGGAGAATCTTGTACCATTTATTTTTGTCAAGTAGTTCCTAAAAAATATAAAACAAACAATGTTTTATGATACTATCTGACAACACACTAATCACACACATTTTCATGAAAGAGTGCTATTTATATCACAATTTAGCTGGAGAGAGAATATGAGCTTGTAATTGTTGCCAGGATTTGAGTCCTGGAAGTGGGAAGTACTGTACCCATACTCTAAAGAAGGGGTGGGAATACATGCTGTTTGGAGGGACATCTGAACTGTGATATCTATGTGCCTATGGCAAGACAGTGATAGTGTGAATGATGGTGAAAGTGCTTCTTTTTCAGATTGCCCTATCTCGGTGAGAGACAGCTAGTGTGTTAAAAAAAAAAAAAATCTACAGCCATGTATATAATGGTGATTACTCTTCTATTACAGTAAGACCAATCTATAGTGACCCTTTATTGCTTAAATTCATCACAATGTAGTTCAAAAAAAGTGCCCCACAAACATATCTCAAAAGTTCAAAAATTTGTTAAAGAACAACTGAGCTCTCCACGATTTTAAAATCAACAGCCTTTGGCTTAACAACAAAATCATGATAAGGAAGAGGAGTAACAACTTACACCACAAATGAAATGTAAGACTACTTGTCTGTGACAAGATCACAACTTTTATCCCTTTGAGTCAGTCTAATATGGAGAGAAGACTTAAGCTGAAATGGTATATGGAGCAAGTGATATAGCTATGTCAGTTGTGTTTAGTAAGGCATTATAGAATACAGTATATTGCCACCCAGAGACAACCTTCACCTACTGATAACTCTTCATCAACATCTACAAAAGAACTAGTCATCTACCTGGGTTCTGCAGACTGACAACAACTCCCTTTTACTAGATATCCTGCTATGACAGGAGATGGCTTCCAAAATGTGAGTTAAGTTGTATTGTACATTATATTATTATTTTAACAAAAAAATACAAAATTGTTGAGGGGAAGGGATGAAATTTAGGATTTTTGGAATGTCATATACTTTACATTAAGCAGATTTAGGCTGGTAGTGGATTTTCAGGAATGTAACTAGTACTGTACCAGGAGAGTATTTAATGTACCTCGAGCCCAGATATTTAGGGATGAAAGGTGATCACTCAACTTATCTTGCTGCCCTATCTTCTTTCTAATCTTTCTTATGTTCCTCATTCTCTTTACTCCTTCTCCTCTTTTCTCCTCATCCCACTGTTAACTCTGGCAGAAAGAGAAAGCTTTTCCCTGCAGTGTTCAATGGGCAGGTGTTATGCTCTCCACCTACAACATGTGGCCACTACCTTCCTCCATTACTACTTTCTCCTCCTGCCATATACATCTACAGTGATTCATTTCTTAAGTGAGACACTATTATCATCACCAACATTGACATATCACTAATATTTACCCACAGAAATTTAAAAAAAGAATGCTCTTTTGGTGATGAGAGAAAACTTAATGTACTATAGCAGCTAACTAAACACAGACATAATAATGTTAAATTATCTGAAAATTTGACCAAACGGAAATCACGATTGGCAATGATTTGAAATAAGAACGAGTGAAATATTAAGCCAGTATTTACACAGAGCCAAACAACACAGCAAAAGAAGCAACTCCATGGCATGGGTCTACTAAAATTACAGGTTACTGTTGCTATAAACTACTGGAATAGAAACTTAAGAATAATTTTTTTTTCAACAAGCTGGCCATCTCTCACAGAGGCAGGATGACCCAAAAAAGAAATTAATACTTTTGCCATCATTCACACACAATCACTGCCTGTGCAGATATGACAGTTCAGATGTCACTCCAAACAGCAAATATCCCAAACCCCTCCTTTAAAGTGCAGGCATTGTACTTCCCACCTCCAGTACTAAGTCCAGCAAACCCATTTCTCTGAATCCCTTCACAAAATATTACCCTGCTCACACTCCAACAGCTTGCTAAGTCCAAAAAGCCATTCATCATTATTCACTCCTATCTAACACACTCACACGTGCTTGCTGTATGTTCAAGCCCCTTGCACACAAAATCTCTTTTACCCTCTCCCTCCATCCTTTCCCAGGATGATCCCTTCCCCTCCTCTCCTCCATTACAGATTTATACACACTCCAAGTCATCCTATTTTGCTCCATCCTCTCTAAATGACCAACCCATCTCAAACCCTTCTTCAGCCCTCTCAATAACACTTTTAGTAACTCCACACCTCCTCCTAATTTTCACACTACAAATTCTCTTCAATTTTTTTTTTCGACAAGTCGGCCGTCTCCCACCGAGGCAGGGTGACCCAAAAAGAAAGAAAATCCCCAAAAAGAAAATACTTTCATCATTCAACACTTTCACCTCACTCACACATAATCACTGTTTTTGCAGAGGCTCCCAGAATGCAACAGCTTAGAAGTACACCTACCATCCGACTTACGACTGAGTTCGGTTCCGAGAAACCGGTCGTAAGTCGAAATGGTCGTAAGTCGAACTTTACTACTGAATATCAACAAAACATTTTTGTAATGACTTTATTTTATTGTTTTATTTTGTTATTTCATGTTTTACTTTACTTTTTATGTTGTTAGTACTGTATTTTATACTGTAAGGTTTAGGATAAACACTGTGTACAACACAAATAGTTGTTTATTTCCCAGAAATTTGGCATAAGAACATGGTCATAAGTCGAGTGGTCGTGAGTCGAGCAGGTCGTAAGTATAAAAATACACAATATATCCCTCCAAACTGCCAATCAACAAACCTCTGGCAGTCCTAAAAAGGCAAAAGACCAGGTTACTCAAATGAATGCCTGACCAACTAAGCTGTGGTTCATACAATGGGCACCATGTGGCCAACAGTAACAGCCTGGTCGATCAGGCCCTGATTCTCCAGGAGGCTTAGTCTGGGACTGGGCACTGGGGGAGCTGACCACAAGGAAAATTCCTTCAACTATAACAAACAGGCAATTACTCAAATACTTACTTGTAGTTCTTGAGACTTCTCTCGCCTCTCACGTCTGCGAATTTCTTCCTCACGCTCTACTTTCTCTCTCTTCTCTACAATTCTGAATGCTATTTCTTCTTTTTCTATTTGGGAGATTAAAATATTTTTAGGATCTTCTGGGAAGAATGCTCTTACTGGGTAAATTTTGGTAGTACTGTTTACAAAAGTTACAGCCAAGAAGTTACCATCGTCACTCACATTCACACAGTCTGAAAACACAATAATGATGAAGAGTAGAAATTTATCTACAAGACATTTCTTAAGTCATGCTAACTACCACATATTTTTTTTTTAACATGGTGGCCATTTCCCACCTAGGCAGGGTGACCCAAAAAAGAAAACACTTTCACCATCATGCAGCCAGCAGTAACAGCCTGGTTGATCAGGCCCTGATCCAACAGGAGACCTGGTTGTGGACCGGGCTGCAGGGGAATTGATCCCCAGAATGCTCTCCAGGTAAATAAATTGCACTATCACTGTCTTTGCAGAGGTGAAGAGATACAACAGTTTAGAAGTCACTCTAAACAGCAAATATCCCAAACCCCTCCTTTAAAGTAAAGGCACTGTACTTCCCATCTCCAGGACTCAAGTCTGGCTAAACAGTTTCCCTTAATATACCTTTGAATAGTTTCGAGAGCTTCTCTACTCTCTGAGCCCGGCCATGGGTCAGGCTCATCTGGTGCTTGCCTGGTCAACCAGGCTGTTGCTGCTGGAGGCCTGCTGCCCCACATATCCATCACAGCCTGGTTGATCTGGCACCTGGTGAAGATACTTGTCCAGTTTCCTCTTCAAGACTTCTACATTTGTTCCAGCCATGTTTCTGATATCTTCTGGTAAGATACTGAATAGTTTGGGACCCCAAATGTTCATATAGTGTTCCCTTATTGTCCCCACCACACCCCTGCTCCTCACTGGGTTTATTTTATACTTCCTCCCATATCTCTCATTCCAGTATGTTGTTATGGCAGTGTGCAGGTTTGGGACCAGGCCCTTGTGTACTTGTAGACAGCCTGTACTGTCTGCACAGACAGCCCATGCTGTCTGCCAGCTTAGTTCATATTTCGCGCCACTCATGTGCTGCCCTCTGTAGCCAGGCCTCTCGGTGGGCAAGCCAGCCTGTCTGCCCATGCCTCGCTTTCACTCACACAGCGGTGTGAGCATCCAGACACAGGTACAAGCAGGATCCAGCCAAAATTTGCCGAAATTCTCCGAGAATTGTAAGTGACCCCACACTACAGCGTCCCACGCTGTTTCCCAAGTCACGTGTTCAGCGTCACTTGTATGTTGCTGCTGTTGTTGTTCAGCTCAGCACAGCTGTTTCAGCAAGCCAGAGGTGAATTTTGTGGTGATTTCTGCATCCAGTGTGAGCTTCTCTACATGTTTGTGGGTGGGGGAGGAGGAGAGGAAGTGGCTGTTCCTCACCTTGCCCATGCTCACCCTACTCACGCTCACCCATCTACCATACACTCACCACTACTCACTCCCTCTGCTGTGTTTTCTGCTGTTTTCCGTGTGAATTCATTGCCAGAACTGTGTATCGGAGTGCCCGAGGCCACTCAAAGCTACGTGGGTCAGCATGCCATGTAGATCACGACGCCACGTGGATCACGACGCCACGTGGATCTACAAACCACGTGAGTTACCGAGCCAGATGTCCCAGGCCTCATGCTGTGGTCTGCTGCCCGCATCACATTGACGTCACCGACGATGCTGCCCAACTTCATGACGTCACGTTGTCTGCTGACGTCACCTCACGATGTCTGCCTGACGTCACCTCGAGATGTCTGCTGATGTCACCTCGCGACATCACATGATGTCACCATCGAGTGTTCAGTAATTATTAAAATATTGTCAAGAAGACTAAGAGAAGATATATGTCGTGTGTTAATTCCTCTCAGTCAGTGTTCTCACATGTTAGTGTACCGCATGTACAGCGGTGTGTTTAAAGTTTCCGTGTGTCCAGTGAGGTCTGAGCCAGACCTGAGTAGCACCACTGTGCTAAGTCACTCGATGTGACCAGTGCGTATGACAGCTGATGTCAAGTCAGCCCCGAGTGACCGAACCCTCTTGTACAGAAAGCTTTTATGCTCGTCGCTCGTGATGTTCTGCAGAATCGTACCTACTACGATTCCCATCGAGATTTGCTTCACTTCACCTCCAGACCGTCAGAGTGCAGTTATATGTAGAGAATCAAGTCTGGGGACGCTTAGACTAACCTCTGTTATAACTCCAACTGCCGAGAGATGACACTCGCCAAGCCGCAGTTAGGCACTGTCGGCAGGCGCTGTGTCAGCCTCGTGTCACAAGCTTCAGTGAGCAGCCTGCACAAAGAAGATGTCACTTTGACTGCTAGCTCTCTCACTGCAGTCTGGTGTATGATGTTACGACTCCCAGATGTTTCGCCCAGTCGTCTCTGCCACGACTCGCTCCACAACTCGCTCCACGCTTGCCGGCAGTGACAGCCCAGCGACAGTACCAGTCGAGAAGTGTCCTCCTGAGTCGCTTGCCAGAAGTCCTGCCTTGTTGCCGAGTTTTATCGACGCCTCACTCGAGGGCACCAGCATGTCATGCCCCAGGTTGAGTGAAACCTGCAGCGACTCCTACGATGACTGCTTCACTGTTCCAGAGGAGACCGTACCCTGTTACGTCACAGCTCAGCCGCAGCGATGCCTCCTGTGTTGCAGTATCTGTCCAGACGCAGGAAGGCGTGCAGTGATGCCCTTCGACGCTCACTGCCTTTGACCACGATGTTTAGCACACCCCACATGTTTTTTTCTTCCCTCCCTGTAGGAAGTTTTTTTTTTCATGTTCATATGTATACATATGTTTTTATTTTGTGTTCTGTGCCCTGTTCCTATGAGAGAGAGACCGAGTTTCTTTTACCACCAGTATTGTCGCGTCGGGACGACGGGCGGTAGGTGGCCGAGCGTATGTAGACAGCCTGTACTGTCTGCACAGACAGCCCATGCTGTCTGCCAGCTTAGTTCATATTTCGCGCCACTCAGGTGCTGCCCTCTGTAGCCAGGCCTCTCGGTGGGCAAGCCAGCCTGTCTGCCCATGCCTCGCTCTCACTCACACAGCGGCCTAGCAGCAAGACACAAGTACTAGTAGCTCTCTCTCGTGGGATGGCCCTTCCCGGGCCATGGGCACAACACAAGCCTGTGTACCCACCACGACATAACAATAAAGTAAGAAGCCTCCGAAGAAGTATATCATTTGAACCCCGCTACCATACTACCAAACAAACTCGTTATATACTTTCCAGGTATATATTATCATGTAGCTCTCTCTCCTCTGCTCCAATGAGTACATGTTCAAGACTTGAAAGCATTTCCAGTAGTTTAGGTGCTTTACTGGCTCAATGTGAGCCGTAAACGATCTCTGTATTTGTTCCAGCTCCGATATTTCTCCTGCTTTGAAAGGGGCTGTCAGTACTGAGCAATATTCTAAGTGAGGGAGCACTAGTGATTTGAAGAGTGTCACCATTGGCATTAGCATTTCCCCTGTTTTGAAAGTTCTCAATACCCACCCCATCATCTTCCTGGCTGTCATAATCTTCATGGTCTTTGTCTTTAGTAAAGTCCCAAAAACCATTCGTCTCCACTCAGTCCTATCTAACACATTCACACTTGCCTGCTGTATGTCCAAGCACCTTGCACACACAATAATTTTTAACCCCTCCCTCCATCCTTTCCTAGGGCGACCCCTACCCTTCCTTCCCTCTGGCAAGTCATCCTAACCATACCACGGGCGGGGATAGAACCCGCGATCAGAGAGTCTCAAAACTCCAGATCGTCGTGTTAGCCACTGGTCCAGCTAGCCACAATAAGATTCGTCCAACTAGGTATATTTCTACACCATAGGAAGGTTAGCATAGGCACCACTGTGACCACAAATGCAAGTCTTTACAGTTAAATCTCCAGCTAGTGTGGCCATGATGAACTCTAGCTCAAGCCCCCTCAAAGCCGTCAACATGACGGCAATCGTGTCATTACGATTTCGTGAGTCAAGTCATCCTATTTTGCTCCATCCTCTCTAAATTACCAAACCACCTCAACATCCCTTCCTCATCCCTCTGAACAATACTTTTAGTAACTCCACACCTCCTAATTTCCACATTACGAATTCTCTGAATAATATTTACGTCACATATGACATAAATATTAGACACGGCATCTCCACAGACACCTCATTACACCACCCACCTTTTTTCCTTCATCAACCTTATAACAATGTCAATAATGCTTGAGAATTGTAGGATGCTACAGTCTTCATCCAGGCTCACTTATATACAAAGTAAAGTGTATAATAATCAATGATCTCATGGAAGCAACCTTTGCAGCCTCACTAGAAGAGAGTTGTGAGGTTCTCAAGGTGGTTTGGGCACTGAATAGGATGACCAGAAGGGTGTAAAAATCTGTGAAAGAAAGGGGAGGGGGTTAGGGGTCATCTTAGAAAGGGTTGGAGGGTGTACAGGAGGTTTTGTGTGCTGCAGGCTTATCATCCAAAAGGACAATGTGTATTAGACTGAAGTGGGAACAAGCGGTTTTTATGGCTTGGCGTTCTATTGGAGTGTGAGCAAGGTAACATTTATTAAGGGACTTAGGAAAACCAGTTAACTGGACTTGAGTTCTGAAAATGGGAATTACAGTTCCTGAACCATGCAGGAGGGGTGAAGATATTGATTTATGATATCCACACATATCTGGCAAGATGGCCAGATCTGTACAGACTGGTGTCAAAAAATATACATACATAATACAGAAATTAACTCTTGGTACTAACCAATATTAAATCTCTGAGATCTTATAGTCTTCAGCTTGGTTGCAGTTGCAAAATCAATGATGTTTAACATGCCAGTAGAGTTTAAGAGAGCCAAAACCTGTATGAATGAGAACAGAATATCACAATACTGTTAATGTTAAAAAACACTCTTATCTGAAAATAAAACACAATGAATAATAAATTATGTAAGTTACAAAAATTGTTCCACTGTTTATAAAAAAAAAAATGAAATCTGCATATCTCAATCCTTAGAACTTATTGTAGCACTTTATAAAGCACTCATCTTACACACACACATATATTTCCTCATACGCTACTAGCAATTTTTTTTTCATAATTTTCTGTATATCAGGTAAGCAGATGCAATTAAACAAAAGAAACATGCAGAAAGTACCTGAGAGTAGTTTGGATGCACAGGAGGGAGGAACACTGGCTGGAAGATATCAGAGCATGATGTAGGCAGCTGGACTACCTGAGTAACACTTCGACTAACAAGAGAGTATGTAACTAAAAGGTGACTCTTCCCTCCTCCCACCAGCCACTCACCTCCTCTGAAAATAGAAATATTATTAATTTACCATTTTTTTTCATCACGCCGGCCATCTCCCACTGAGGCAGGGTGACCCCCCCCCAAAAAAAAAAAAAAACTTTCACTATCATTCACACTATCACTGTCTTTGCAGAAGTGCTTTTGGGAGATTCTAAAGAGAAGGTTAGTGAGCAAGTTTGGGAGATGTGCAAAGAAAGAAAGTTGAAAGTGAACATAGATAAGAGTAAGGTGACGAGGGCATCAAATGAGTTAGGTAAAAAAAATGGATATAACATTGCAGGGAAGGAGTATGTGTTCAGATATTTGGGAGTAGGTTTGTCAGCAGATGGGTTTATGAATGACGAGGTAATCATAGAACTGATGAAAGAAGAAAGGTCAGTGGTACATTAAGGTATCTGTGGAGACAAAGAACATTATTCATGGAAGCAAAGAAGAGAATGTATGAGAGTATAGTAGCACCAACACTCTTATATGGGTGTGAAGCATGGGTAGTAAATGTTGCAGTGCGAAGGAGGCTGGAGGCAGTGATGTCATGTTTAACCTTTTGACTGTTTTGGTCGTATATATACGTCTTACGAGCCAGTGTTTCGGACGTATATATACTCAATAATTCAAGCGGCTTCAAATCAAGCAGGAGAAAGCTGGTAGGCCCACATGTGAGAGAATGGGTCTGTGTGGTCAGTGTGCACTATATAAAAAAAAAATCCTGCAGCACACAGTGCATAATGAGAAAAAAAACTTACAGTTTTTTGGATTAAAATGCCGACTTTGAGGTGTATTTTCGTATAGTATTTATCATTGTATACTCGTTTTCATGGTCTCACATGATAAAATGGAAAACATATTACAGAAATAGTTATGATTTTGATTAGTTTAACAATGAAAACGACTTTGAAATTGAGTTCAACGTAGTGGAAATGTTCGATTTTTACCAATGTTCAGGAGTAAGCAAAGCACACCACATGTCCAATACACGTCAACTGGGGAGTCTAATATTCTTTTACTAGTGCACTGATATTATTTATACCATTTTTACAATAATGCAGTAGTCTGCATAACAGTAAATTTTGTATTTTTTTGTATGAATAAAAAATAAAAATAGAAAGCAATAGTAATATAAGAGGGGCCTAGAGATGTGACTAATGAACAGAGGATATGTTATTTTAGTGCCAAGAATGTCTACACTGTTTATTCTGGACCCTATTTTGAAACTGGCATCTTTTTTAATTTGCATGAAATTGGCCAAATTGCCAATTTCTGACCACTTTATTGGGTAGTTCAAATCGGTAAATGGGCAGTTTCTTGTACTCAACTGATAGAAAAAATGGAGTTGTAAAGAAATAGCTATAAGTTTGGTCAACTGGAACAAAAGAATTGGCCAAAAACACGGCTCAAAGTCGGCAAAATCGCCGATGCGTATGTGTCGCCAAGACCGCTAACTTCGTGGGAGTGTAATTCCGTGAGTTTTCGACCAAATTTTGTACTTTTTTTCGTCATTACCATTGGGAAAAGGTTCTCTATCATTTCATAAGAAAAAATATTTTTTTTTTTCCAAAAATTTGGCGACATAGAATGACAGTTTCAGAAAGGGGCTTGCGACAGTCAAAGGGTTAAGGGCAATGTGTGGTGTAAATTTGAAAATTAGGAGGAGAAGGTGTGGAGTTATTAAAAGTATTATGCTGAGGGCTGAGGAGGGAGTTGTTGAGGTGGTTTGGTTATTTAGAGAGGGTGGAGCAAAATAGGATGACTTGGAGGGTGTATAAATCTGTAGTGGAGTGGAGGAGGGGTAGTGGTCATCCTAAGAAAGGATGAAGGGAGGGGATAAAAGAGGGTTTGTGTGCAAGGGGCTTGGACATACAGCAGGCATGCGTGAGCATGTTAAACAGGAGTGAATGGAGACTTGACAAGCTGTTGGAGTTTGAGCAGAATAATATTTTGCGAAGGGATTCAGGGAAACAGGTTAGCTGGACCTGAGTCCTAGAGGTGTGAAGTACAATGCCTGCAATTTAAAGGAGGGGTTTGGGATATTTGTTGTTTGGAGTGACATCTCAACTGTCATATCTGTGCACCTCTGCAAAGACAGTGACTATGTGTAAATGATGGTGAAAGTGCTGAGTGATGGTGAAAATGTTACTTTCTTTTTTGTGTCACCCTGCCTTGGTGGGAGATGGCCAAAGTGTTAATTTTTTTTTTTAAACACATTGGCCATTTCCCACCAAGGCAGGGTGGCTCGAAAAAGAAGAAGCATTTCCATCATTCACTCCATCACCCTCTTGCTAGAGGCATGCCTACACTAGTTATAAAACTACAACATCAATACCCCTCCTTCAGAGTATAGGCGCTGCATTTCCCACCTCCAGGACTCAAGTCCAACCTGCCAGTTTCCACGAATCTCTTCATAAATGTTACCTTGCTCACACTCCAACAGCACGTCAAGTCATCAAAACCATTTGTCTCCACTCGCTCCTATCTAACACACTCACACATGCTTGCTGGAAGTCAAAACCCCTCACACACAAAACCTCCTTTATCCCCTCCCTCCAACCTTTCCTAGGCTGACCCCTACCCTGCCTTCTGTCCACTACAGATTTATATGCTCTCCAAGTCATTCTAGTTTGTTTCATCCTCTCTAAATGTCCGAGCCACCTCAACCCTCTGGATAATACTTTTAGTAACCCCGTACCTCTTCCTAATTTCCACACTACGGATTCTCTACATTATATTCACACCACACATTGTTTTCAGACATGACATCTCCACTGACTCCAGCCTTCTCCTTGTTTCAACATTCACCACCCATGATTCACACTCATATAAGAACAATGGCATAGCTACACTCTCATACATTCCCCTCTTTGTTTCCATAGATAATGTTCTTTGTCTCCACAGACTCCTCAGTTCACCATTTCATCTTCTTCCCCCTCATCAATTTTACGATTCACCTTTTCTTTTATAGACCCATCTGACGACAAGTCCACTCCTCCATACCTCCTCCCTCCATTCTGATATCCAATCTTTCATTACCTAAATAATAATAATAAATAATAATAATATACAATAATAAATAATAATAACAATACTAAATAATAATAATAAATAATAATCAATATTTAAAAGTGATAACAGCCATGGTAGTTACCTAGTACAGTACAGCAACTGGTTCAGTCATTATTATACATGGAAAGCTCTAAACCTGCGTGTATGTCACTTCAAGCTACACAGTAAGGGTGAGGCCGAGGGTGGGTCTTTCTGGGAATTACAAGATTGGCACACTACTAAACTGTATTCATCCAACCTTTGTGATTAATACTGAATTATAAGAAACAATCTGCATAAAGGTGGAACTGTCAGACAAGAAGGCAGAGTTAACATGTCATGGCATTGAAGGACAGGTTGAATACAGTATGCTCTCATATGAATAAAATCATCAAACAAAAGATGGTAAACTGCTAACATGACCAACAATTCAGAGTGACATCAAGTGCCAGTCTGGGAGGTGATCATGTGTTAGGCTGGTGTGACCAACACCTAGGAATGAGATTGTTTTGCAACCAATAGCTATAAAGAAAGAATAGCTAAACGCCAAATGAAGCTTGACTAAAAGAACAGCCAGATGGGTACTGATGCAAAGTAAATATGCTATACACAATCTTGCAACTGCTGTGTTAGTACTAGATAACAATGGGTACTAAAGTAGAGTAAATATGCTGTCCACAATCTTGCAGCTGCTGTGTTACTACTGGATAACAATCAGCAACTGACAACCACCTATGGAAAGTGCAATGCCCAATACAGTGGACCCTCGACCAATGATGGCATCGTCTAACGTTAAATCCGACTAGTGGTACATTTTAACGCAAAAAATTTTGCCTCGACTAGCGCTACAAATCTCGACCAACACGATTCGTTTCGTCTGAGACGTGTCCACTTGTGGCCAGTGTTTACAAGCCAGTCAGCCACTGCGGTCCCATCCAAACATACAATCAGAGCATTTCATATTATCACAGCGTTTTTAGTGATTACACCTGCAAAATAAGTCACCATGGGCCCCAAGAAAGCTTCTAGTGCCAACCCTACAGCAAATAGGGTGAGAATTACTATGGATATAAGGAAAGAGATCATTGCTAAGTATGAAAGTGGAGTGTGTGTCTCTGAGCTGGCCAGGTTGTACACAAAACCCCAATCAACCATCGCTCTTATTGTGGCCAAGAAAACGGCAATCAAGAAAGCTGTTCTTGCCAAAGGTGCAACTATGTTTTCGAAACTGAGATCGCAAGTGATAGAAGATGTTGAGAGACTGTTATTGGTGTGGATAAACGAAAAACAGATAGCAGGAGATAGCATCTCTCAAGCGATCATATGTGAAAAGGCTAGGAAGTTGCATGAGGATTTAATTTGAAAAATGCCTGCAACTAGTGGTGATGTGAGTGAATTTAAGGCCAGCAAAGGTTGGTTTGAGAAATTTAAGAATCGTAGTGGCATACATAGTGTGATAAGGCATGGTGAGGCTGCCAGTTTGGACCAAAAAGCAGCTGAAAAATATGTGCAGGAATTCAAGGAGTACATACAGAGTGAAGAATTGAAACCTGAACACGTGTTTAATTGTGACACTGACAATGTTGTGAAACACTTTAGGAATGTCATAAAGGAACGGGAGGTACAGGCCTCTATGGACAGATATGTTGTGCGACAGAGGTCCAGTGACTCTCAAGCTGGTCCTAGTGGCATTAAAAGAAGAAGGTAAGTAACCCCGGAAAAGGACTTGACACCTCAAGTCCTAATGGAAGGGGATTCCCCTTCTAAACACTAACACCATCCACAGTCTCCCCTCCTCCCATCCCATCAATCATCACCAGATCTTCAATAAAGATAAGTGTCATGTAATTGTACATGTCTTCTTCAGTTTGTGTGTATTAAAATTAATATTTCACATGGTAAAATTTTTTTTTTTCAATACTTTTTGGGTGTCTTGCACAGATTAATTTGATTTCCATTATTTCTTATGAGGAAAATTAACTTGACTAACGATAATTTTGATTAACGATGAGCTCTCAGGAACGGATTAATATTGTTGGTAGAGGGTCCACTATATATTTTGTACTTTTATATGGTTAGTACTAGTCATAACTGGTTTCTTTTTCTGTCTCATAAACACGCTAGATAACAAGGATATCTTGCTACTCCTACTTACACTTTGGTCACACTTCACAGACACGCACATGCATATACACATACATACATCTAGGTTTTTCTCATTTTTCTAAATAACTCTTGTTCTTCTTTATTTCTTCTATTGTCCATGGGGTAGTGGAAAAGAATCTTTCCTCCGTAAGCCATGCGTGTTGTATGAGGCGACTAAAATGCCGGGAGCAATGGGCTAGTAACCCCTTCTCCTGTAGACATTTACTAAAAAAGAGAAGAAGAAAAACTTTATAAAACTGGGATGCTTGAATGTGCGTTGATGTAGTGCGGATGACAAGAAACATGATTGCTGATGTTATGAATGAAAAGAAGTTGGATGTCCTGGCCCTAAGTGAAACAAAGCTGAAGGGGGTAGGGGCGTTTCGGTGGGGGGAAATAAATGGGATTAAATCTGGAGTATCTGAGAGAGTTAGAGCAAAGGAAGGGGTAGCAGTAATGTTGAAGGGTCAGTTATGGAAGGAGAAAAGAGAATATGAATGTGTAAATTCAAGAATTATGTGGATTAAAGTAAAGGTTGGATGTGAAAAGTGGGTCATAATAAGCATGTATGCACCTGGAGAAGAGAGGAATGCAGAGGAGAGAGAGAGATTTTGGGAGATGTTAAGTGAATGTATAGGAGCCTTTGAACCAAGTGAGAGAGTAATTGTGATAGGGGACCTGAATGCTAAAGTAGGAGAAACTTTTAGAGAGGGTGTGGTAGGTAAGTTTGGGGTGCCAGGTGTAAATGATAATGGGAGCCCTTTGATTGAACTTTGTATAGAAAGGGGTTTAGTTATAGGTAATACATATTTTAAGAAAAAGAGGATAAATAAGTATACAAGATATGATGAAGGGCAAAATGACAGTAGTTTGTTGGATTATGTATTGGTAGATAAAAGACTGCTGAGTAGACTTCATGATGTACATGTTTATAGAGGGGCCACAGATATATCAGATCACTTTCTAGTTGTAGCTACACTGAGAGTAAAAGGTAGATGGGATATAAGGAGAATAGAAGCATCAGGGAAGAGAGAGGTGAAGGTTTATAAACTAAGAGAGGAGGCAGTTAGGGTAAGATATAAACAGCTATTGGAGGATAGATGGGCTAATGAGAGCATAGGCAATGGGGTCGAAGAGGTATGGAGTAGGTTTAAAAATGTAGTGTTAGAGTGTTCAGCAGAAGTTTGTGGTTACAGGAAAGTGGGTGCGGGAGGGAAGAGGAGCGATTGGTGGAATGATGATGTAAAGAGAGTAGTAAGGGAGAAAAAGTTAGCATATGAGAAGTTTTTACAAAGTAGAAGTGATGCAAGGAGGGAAGAGTATATGGAGAAAAAGAGAGAGGTTAAGAGAGTGGTGAAGCAATGTAAAAAGAGAGCAAATGAGAGAGTGGGTGAGATGTTATCAACAAATTTTGTTGAAAATAAGAAAAAGTTTTGGAGTGAGATTAACAAGTTAAGGAAGCCTAGAGAACAAATGGATTTGCCAGTTAAAAATAGGAGAGGAGAGTTATTAAATGGAGAGTTAGAGGTATTGGGAAGATGGAAGGAATATTTTGAGGAATTGTTAAATGTTGATGAAGATAGGGAAGCTGTGATTTCGTGTATAGGGCAAGGAGGAATAACATCTTGTGGGAGTGAGGAAGAGCCAGTTGTGAGTGTGGGGGAAGTTCGTGAGGCAGTAGGTAAAATGAAAGGGCATAAGGCAGCCGGGATTGATGGGATAAAGACAGAAATGTTAAAAGCAGGTGGGGATATAGTTTTGGAGTGGTTGGTGCAATTATTTAATAAATGTATGGAAGAGGGTAAGGTACCTAGGATTGGCAGAGAGCATGCATAGTTCCTTTGTATAAAGGCAAAGGGGACAAAAGAGAGTGCAAAAATTATAGGGGGATAAGTCTGTTGAGTATACCTGGTAAAGTGTATGGTAGAGTTATTATTGAAAGAATTAAGAGTAAGACGGAGAATAGGATAGCAGATGAACAAGGAGGCTTTAGGAAAGGTAGGGGGTGTATGGACCAGGTGTTTACAGTGAAACATATAAGTGAACAGTATTTAGATAAGGCTAAAGAGGTCTTTGTGGCATTTATGGATTTGGAAAAGGCGTATGACAGGGTGGATAGGGGGGCAATGTGGCAGATGTTGCAGGTGTATGGTGCAGGAGGTAGGTTACTGAAAGCAGTGAAGAGTTTTTACGAGGATAGTGAGGCTCAAGTTAGAGTATGTAGGAAAGAGGGAAATTATTTCCCAGTAAAAGTAGGCCTTAGACAAGGATGTGTGATGTCACCGTGGTTGTTTAATATATTTATAGATGGGGTTGTAAGAGAAGTAAATGCGAGGGTCTTGGCAAGAGGCGTGGAGTTAAAAGATAAAGAATCACACATAAAGTGGGAGTTGTCACAGTTGCTCTTTGCTGATGTCACTGTGCTCTTGGGAGATTCTGAAGAGAAGTTGCAGAGATTGGTGGATGAATTTGGTAGGGTGTGCAAAAGAAGAAAATTAAAAGTGAATACAGGAAAGAGTAAGGTTATGAGGATAACAAAAAGATTAGGTGATGAAAGATTGGATATCAGATTGGAGGGAGAGAGTATGGAGGAGGTGAATGTATTCAGATATTTGGGAGTGGACGTGTCAGCGGATGGGTCTATGAAAGATGAGGTGAATCATAGAATTGATGAGGGGAAAAGGGTAAGTGGTGCACTTAGGAGTCTGTGGAGACAAAGAAATTTGTCCTTGGAGGCAAAGAGGGGAATGTATGAGAGTATAGTTTTACCAACGCTTTTATATGGGTGTGAAGCATGGGTGATGAATGTTGCAGCGAGGAGAAGGCTGGAGGCAGTGGAGATGTCATGTCTGAGGGCAATGTGTGGTGTGAGTATAATGCAGAGAATTCGTGGTTTGGAAGTTAGGAGGAGGTGCGGGATTACCAAAACTGTTGTCCAGAGGGCTGAGGAAGGGTTGTTGAGGTGGTTTGGACATGTAGAGAGAATGGAGCGAAACAGAGTGACTTCAAGAGTGTATCAGTCTGTAGTGGAAGGAAGGCGGGGTAAGGGTCAGCCTAGGAAAGGTTGGAGGGAGGGGGTAAAGGAGGTTTTGTGTGTGAAGGGCTTGGACTTCCAGCAGGCATGCATGAGCGTGTTTGATAGGAGTGAATGGAGACAAATGGTTTTTAATACTTGATGTGCTGTTGGAGTGTGAGCAAAGTAACATTTATGAAGGGGTTCAGGGAAACGGCAGGCCGGACTTGAGTCCTGGAGATGGGAAGTACAGTGCCTGCACTCTGAAGGAGGGGTGTTAATGTTGCAGTTTAAAAACTGTAGTGTAAAGCACCCTTCTGGCAAGACAGTGATGGAGTGAATGATGGTGAAAGTTTTTCTTTTTCGGGCCACCCTGCCTTGGTGGGAATCGGCCAGTGTGATAATAATAAAAAATAACAGTCATAACTTTAACCTGCCTGAAATACTATGCATAAATATGTGCTTTTCCTTGTAAAATCTGTTATCTACTGCAAAACCATTGTAACCTGACTGTATCTTCTTGGGAAAGAAGAACAAATCTTGGGAAAAAAGAATGTATCTTTCTTGGGAAAGAAATGATCTAATCTTAGCTAAGTTACTTGCACTCTCTTGTTCTCAGGAATGAGTACGTACCATCTCAACATGTGTGTAATGCAATACTCAAAACACTGTTCTCAGGAACATGAGTGTATACCATCCCATCATGTGTGTGACAATGTAATATTCATCTCTCACAAACATGAGTTTATACCACCTCGTTCTGCTTGATAATGTAATGCTGCTCACAACAGTTTCCTCTCACAGATATCGTACATTTGCAGCTAACCATGACTCAGAATTCTGTCTTTTAATTTTGAATATAATGCCCATTTAATGCAATGAACAACTACTCAATATTTCATTTGGAAACCCTGATCTCCATTCCTCCAAGAAGCAACTGTGGAATTGTCCTTCATAGAAGCAAATATATTGTTTTACTTTTTCTACTAACCAAACAATACTGAGTTGACTACTTTACAAAATGTTCTAAAAAAAAAAAAAGCAAATAACCATAAAAAATCATTAATACTATAAAATTAAATGAAAGCAAAAAAAATTATCTGTCCACAGAATTTAGAGAAAATTCAGCAAAGGCCCTCAATCATAGGAACAATGAATTACAAAATACAAAAAGACAGATGAAAATATAGTAAGACAAAATAGGCAACTCAACAGATAATATTCAGTTATATTACCTGGATAAAGCAAATGCTTTAAAATCAAAGTCTAGACCCTTGGGTGCCTCAATGTGCACCTGAGTGTTTCGCTTGTGAGACGGCCAGATGAGAATACTGCCACTGATGAAGCTCACCACTAGCTCATCTCTCTGCCATACATGACCAGCCTGGGAGTGTATTATCAATTTGTCCAAAACCATTAATAGGAAAATATATATACAAATACAGGTCCGCCATCACAAATCTGGCAATCAGTTACCCGGTTCCATCAATTATTCAGCACTAATTTCAGCTAGCATAATTTCAAATTTCCAAGGTCACCACACCAACCTGCTGGTACTGTTTGGTGGTGCTACTGGCTGCATAAGCCCTAGCCATGGTTCCAACAAATAAATGTTTCTCGTTGTGTATATGTTATGCAGGGTTCTGCATAACATTGTAATGTATATACAGTAGAGAAGGGTGCCATAATGTATGAATGTTATAATTGTAAAGCATAATTTTACAATTCATAATGTGCATTTGGGGGGTACTGTAAAGCATGTTAAACTGTAAATGTAACGAAATCCTGCCAGGGATTTATTTACCAACTGTGTTTTGATTAGCGGGCAAGTGTGGCTTGGGCAGTCACGTGTGGTCCGCATGGCATGGAGGCTGGCGTTGGAGATGCCGTGTATTTAAGCTAAGTTTTGTAGATGTGTACTCCTTTTGTTTAGCTAACTCAAGCCATAGGCTCTTCTATGGCTTACCTGTATGCTCACCTAGGCTCTGACTTGGTCAGGGTGCTATGGGATGAGTGAGGAAATAAGAAATGGGGTCGGTATGGGAGTAGTCAAGGCCTGGCGTTGCTAGGCTAAGGGTTTATGTTTTCCAGGACTCTCCAGCCGCCTGCTTCTTGTGTACCGTTATTTTGGCATTTAGGATAGGAGATATATGAAGGGGTTTTCTAGAGTGTGTAAACAGTGTTATGACGAATAAATGTATATATTTTCCTAGCTAGGATTTTTGCCTAACCCTCTGTTAACCAACCCACTGAAGTACAAATACTGGTTTAGTGCTTTCTGCATTGACTGGGATAGCCCTGGGTGGCCTGATTCTACCTGAGATGGGTGTAACTTTTACCTTTGCCCTTAGACAAGGCTCTAGCCCCCAGGTATCCCACATTTCCGCGTAACAATAAAGCACATACACAGTACATTATCCATAAAAGATAAGGTGGCTTTGAAGCTACTGTTGGTTGCCATGAGCTCAGTCTCGTGATGCAAGGGAATATGCTTATTATTTGGCTAATATCAACACTATGGCTTATTTGCCTATCATAATTGATCTAATATGACAAAATAAATAATATAAATAACTAAAAATGTGTTATATACTCCAGAATTAATAATATTGGACATAATACTGAGCTGTTCGACAGAGGTATGAAGAGGATATGGGATACAAGTACCATTCTCCTATCCCTGTCTTGGGGCTTATATTAGAGAAAACAGAGTATAGCACATGGCTAACCGATATACACTCGTACTGCACCATAAAACTAAAACAAAAAAGCTATTTTCTCTACATAGATTATCATACATAGCAGCAGCATATATGTAGAGAACCTAGGATAACCCAAAAATGTCAGACAAAGTGCCTTATTTCTAGTACCTGACTTGGGCTTGCCATATATGATTTCTGGTAAATATTAGATTCCCAGGCAGGGTAGAAACATTGGGCATGTTTCTTTACACCTATTGTCTATGTTCATCCATCAGTAAATGGGTACCGGGTGTTAGTTGACTGGTGTGGGTTTATCCTGGGACACTGACCTAATTTGCCTGAAATGCTAAGCATAACAAGGTGCTTTCTATATAATAGTATGTCACTGATGTCAGCTATGGCCTGTATACCATTTACATGTACTTGTAGTAAATAAAGATATTATTATTATTATTTTTTTCTTTTAACAAGTTGGCTGTCTCCCACCGAGGCAGGGTGACCCAAAAAGAAAGAAAATCCCCCCCTCAAAAAAAAATACTTTCATTGTCATTCAACACTTTCACCTCACTCATACATAATCACTGTTTTTGCAGAGGTGCCCAGAACACAACAGTTTAGAAGCATATATGTATAAAGATACACAACATATCCCTCCAAACTGCCAATATCCCAAACCCCTCCTTTAAAGTGCACTCACTGTACAGTGGAACCTCAAATTTCGAACATATCACTTATCGAACTCTTCGAAAATTGACCGCTTTTTTCAAACCAACTTTGTCCCTATTATCAAACTCGCCCCTATTTTCGAACCGCCGGGTACCAGACCTGTCCACCAGCCTGCTCTGTCTGTGTCCCCGCGCAGGCGCCATGAGCCAGTCTGGCTTTGTTGATGCTTGAGTGAACACTAACCTGTGCTCTCATTCAAACATTTTACGATTAATTCATTGTGTTTAGTGCTTGTGGGACTGTGAAATAAGCTACCATGGGTCCAAAGAAGCTTGCTATTGGTATCCCTGTTTTAAAAAAAGTGAGAAACACCATAGATGTGAAGAAGGAAATAATACAGAAGTATGAGAGTGGTGTGAAACTTGTTGAGCTTGCCAGGATATATGGGAAAAACAAGTTGACCATCGCTTCTATTCTGGCAAAGAAAGAACAAATCAAGGAAGCTGATGTTGCGAGAGGTGTTAATATGCTAACCAAAAAAAGACCACAGACAATCGATCAGGTTGAGAAGTTGTTGCTGGTGTGGATCAAGGATAAAGAGATGGCAAGTGATAGTGTTTCAGAGACGATTACATGTATTTGTGAAAAGGCAAGGAAGCTGAATGCCGATCTGGTACAGAAAACTCCTGGAACCAGTGCTAAGAGTGAATTTAAGGCCAGCAGAGGCTGGTGTGACAGATTTACGAAGCGTAGTGGTATACACAATGTTGTAAGGCATGGTGAGGCAGCCAGTTCAGACAAACGGGCGGCTGAGAAGTTTGTACAAGAGTTTAAGGTTTACGTAGACACCTGAAAAACTCAAACCCCAACAAGTGTTCAATTGTGACAAAACAGGCCTGTTTAGGAAGAAAATGCCAAAGAAGACCTACATTACTCAGGAGGAAAAGGCACTCCCAGGATACAAGCCTATGACAGAGGCTAACTCTTTTGTTCTGTGCTAACGCTAGTGGTGATTTTAAAGTGAAGCCTTTACTTATGTATCATTCAGAAAATCCCAGTGTTTAAGAAAAAGAATGTCATAAAGAACAAGTTATGTGTCTTGTGGAAAGCAAATAATAAGGCATGAGTCACAAGGCAAATTTTCAAAGTGGATCCATGAAGTGTTTGGCCCCAGTGTGAGAAAATACCTCCTAGACAATAATTAGCCACTCAAGTGCCTCCTGTTAATGGACGATGCTAATGCTCATCCTCCAAACTTAGTAGACCAGTGAAATTCTTGCCTCCTAACACCACTCCTCTCCTCCAGTCCATGGACTAGCAGGTCATTTCTAACTTCAAAAAACTCTACACAAAAGCAGTGTTTAAAAAGTGCTTTGAAGTGACCACAGACACTAAATTGACCCTAAGAGAGTTCTGGAGGAATCACTTCAATATCTACAGCTCCATAAGCCTTATAGGTAAGGCTTGGGAGGAAGTGACTTTGAACTTTGCTGGGAGACAATTGTGGCCAGATTGTGTCCAAAAGAGGGATTTTGAAGGGTTTGAGGCTGACCCTGACCCAGCTGACCCTCTGCCTGTTGTGGACTCTATTGTGGCATTGGGGAACACCCTGGGGCTGGAGGTGAGTGGTGAGGATGTGGAAGAGTTGTTGGAAGACCACAGGGAAGAGCTAACCACTGAAGAGCTGGAAGAGCTTCATCTGGAACAGTATGAGACCACAGCTCAGGAACTTGCTTCAGAGGAGGAGGAAGAGGGAGTGGATGAGGTGCCTTCTTCAAAGATTCAGGGTTTCTGACATACTAGTACGCGTAAATTCTAGCGCCTTCAAATCTAGTGAGAGAAAGCTGGTAGGCCTACATATGAATGAATGGGTCTATGTGGTCAGTGTGCACAGCATAAAAAAATCCTGCAGCACACAGTGCGTAATGAGAAAAAAAAACTTTGACAGTGTTTTCGGTTTAAAACAGTAACTTTGCACTGTATTTTCGTATGGTATTTATGGTTGAATTCCAGTTTTCCTGGTCTCATTCTATAGAATGGAAGACATATTACAGAAACTGAGATGATTAGGATTGAAAAGTACCTTGAAATTGAGCTCAAAATAGCAGAAATGTTCAATTTTTGCCAAAATTCAAAAGGAAACATATACCACACGTCCAATACATGTCAACTTGTGAGTCTAATATTCTTTCATAAGTGCGCTGATATTATTTATACCATTTCTACACTAATGCAGTAGTCTGCATAACAGTAAATCTTCTATTTTTTAGAGAATAAAAATTCAAAGCGGAAAGCAAAAGAAATGTAAGAGGGGCCTGGGGACATGACTAATGAACAGAGGAAATGTCATTTTAGTGCCAGGAATGGCTGTCCTGTTTATTCTGGACCCTATTTGGAAATTGGCATCTTTTGAAATTTGTGTGAAATTGGCAAAACTGCCAATTTCTGACCACTTTATTGGATAGTTGAAATTGGTAAATGGGTGGTTTCTTGTACTCATTCAATAGAAAAAATGGAGTTGTAGTGAAATAGTTATAATTTTTGTCGACTAGTACACAGGAATTGGCCGAAAACAGGGCTCAAAGTGGGCGAAATCGCCGATGCGTAAACATTGTCGAGACAACTAACTTCGCGAGAGCATAATTTTGTAAGTTTTCCATCAAATTTCATACTTTTGGTGCCATTATGATTGGGAAAAGATTCTCTATCATATCATAAAAAATATTTTTTTCCCCGAAAAATTTTCGACCCTTAGAACAAGTTTAGGAGAGGGCCTCTCGACCCTGAAAGGGTTAAGGAGATTTGCGCCAAGTGGAATGATGTCCTAATGTTTGTGGAGAAGTACCACCCTGAGCAAGCTGAAACAAGTCACCTTTGCAACAAGTTCAGTGACAAAACCATGTCCCATTTTAGGGAAATCTTAAAGAGACACCAGAAACAGAGGACTGTGGACAGTTATTTTGTGAGACGGGTCCAGTGACTCTCAAGCTGGTTCTAGCGGCATTAAAAGACAGAG